CCCCAAAACCCCAAAACCCCAAAACCCCGCTAGAAAGTTACTTTGATATTTAAGAAATTAGTAGAATAAGGATTTTATGTATTAAAAAAATAACATTAAATTGATTTGATTTGGGTTAACTAAGTAATAATTATGGAAAATTTGGCAAGTATCAGTAACAAAAATCCTCAAGACAATCAAGCTTCGTTGCCAAAGCCCAAGAAAAGAAGGGTAATACCTAAACTGCAATTTGAGGAATCTCATCATCAGCCAGATGAAAATTCGATTGCAGAATAAATATAATAAGATTAGCATGATATAGTTGAGACTAATTCATAAGTATCTGCTTCAACTTCAAGTAATATCAGTAGTCTTAAGACAGGAAATGGCAAAATAAAAATTATAAAAGGTATTAAGAGGCCAAACTTATTAGGAACACAGCAGTCAATGAGTTCAGTTGGAACCATCCCAATTTCATCAAACTAAATTAATATTGAACAGTGAGATTTTTTCTGCTAATTATTTATTTAGAGAGATGTCAAAAATTGCTCCAATTGTTTCAGATAAATTTTATGTATCTAATGATTTTCAAGAAATAGACGAATCTCCCTAGATTATTCAGTCATCAATAAACCAACATTCATTTATGCAAATTAAGAAATCCGCTACAATGGATCCAAATAATAATTAAGATTAAGCTAAATTGGCCACTAATGTTGATCAAATTAACATCCAGATGACAGTGATGCATATTGATAATATGAAGCCTAATAAAGACGGTACAATTTAAAAACTGTCTGTAGAGGAAGAGAGCAAAAATTAATAGCAGATTGAGGAGGAAATGAAAGAAGCTGAAGAAGAAATTAAACGATAAATTGAATCTGGAGGGAGTGCAGAAAAACCTGTAATTAAAGGTAATAAATAACTAAGCGTAGAAGTTAAGTTATGTGATTTAATAAGATATGGAGGATTAGGATAAGGAGCAAGTGGGTGCGTAGAAAAAGCTGTACATAAACCAACAAAGAAAATTATTGCTCTGAAAGTTATACCTCTTCAGAGCAATGAAAAGGTCAAAAAGTAAATTCTTCTTGAGCTGAAAACTCTGCATGAATGTGATAATGACTACATAGTAAGATCCTATGGATCATTTTTAAAAGATGGATACGTACATATGGCATTAGAATATATGGATGCAGGTACTCTTTCAGATGTTGTTAAAGAAGTTGGGCCTATCCCTGAAATGATTCTTGGAATGATCACAATTTAGATACTTAGAGGACTTGAATATCTTCATAAAACTATGAAAGTTACGCATAGAGATATTAAACCATCAAATATACTTTTAAACAAAAGAGGATAGGTTAAAATTGCAGATTTCGGTGTTAGTGGCTAAATGAATAACACTTTGGATTGCATGGTTACGTGGGTTGGAACTGTACAATTTATGTCAGTAAGCATCTATTATTCAATTCATATTATGTTTAGCCAGAGAGACTTAAAGGAGAGCCATATTTCTCAGATACAGATATTTGGTCATTAGGATTGACATTAGTTGAATGTGCTTTGGGTAGGTATCCTTATCCTTATGAGGGTGACGAGAGTAAAGAGTTAGGTTTTTGGGATATTGTTAGCTATGTATCTGAGAAAGATCCTCCTAAATTGCCAAGCACTTTCTCCGATGATTTTAAAAACTTCATTGCAATATGTTTAAGAAAAGAAGGTGGTACTAGATCATCAGCTTCTGAGTTACTGAGACATCCTTTTGCAACTAAATACGACAAAGTAGACTAGAAACATCTAAAGAGATGGATAAGAACAATCAATTGAATGAAATCTTCCTTTTTATTATCGATTAATGATTATTTGTTTAAACCAGATCCAATCATATTTCTAAATATTGAAGTGATGGGGTTTTGGGGTTTTGGGGTTTTGGGG